TTATGGTAGCACCTAGGCACTCTACTATGGCCCAGAACCGCAATGGGCTGGGTGCTGTATGAACACTGAGCAGACAGGCAGACAATGGGTGGATTCAGGAAGACAGGGGAGCCCCCAGGGAAAAGGATTCTCAGTTTTGCACCCGGGTTACATCTCGGGTGGCTGAGGTCCTGGTGCTGGGAGCGGCCGAGCTGGGGTTTTGCTGGCACTGTTTGATCTCGATGGCTGTCTGCCTCGTGCTGAGGCTGGGAGGGGCCGGGTTTGGGGCAGGAGATGAGCGGCACCAGAAATGTGCAGCTGTTAATTTGCCATGACCGGGTTCTTTAGCCTGGTGCTTCGTCACCTTTTTGTAGCCGTGCTAAGTTGTGTGGGGGGGGCGGGGGGATTCCTGCGCCAGTTGGCTGCAGCCTGCTCTGGCCCATAAGACAAGCAAGTCCAGGCTTGCAGCTGTGGGCTTGTGCTTGGGGGGTGGGGGGAGTGTCTCAAAGGGGTCACGGCCTAAGCAAGGGCCTGGTCCTCTTTGTTTTATAGCAGGGTGACCCTCCCCCTCTGGGGCTGTGGGTGTGGTGATTTAGTGGCTTTGGCATTTTTGTGAGGCAGCAGGGAGGGGTTAGCCCCAGGGTCCCTGAACAGGGCAAACTCTGGTCACGGTTCCCCCCATGGCGTGAAGGATTTGAATACATTTCCTGTGCTACCTTGTGAGGCTGTGAAAAAACTGCCACACCTCGCCCCCAGAGCCGGCTGCACGGGGCAAGGGATCTCTGTATAAGCAAATCCCAACCTTTCCCCCAGACGTGGCTGGATTTTGGTGCTGGGTGAGGGATCCCTATGTGAACAGCCTCCATGCCCTGCACCTCATTTAATAAATGGGGAAACTGAGGCACGAGGTGGTGTGGGCCCAAGTCTGTCCCACATGGCTGGGAAGTTGGAGGGTGTGTCTGTGGCAGGACTCAAAGTGCCAGGGCGGGGAGGGGGGTGTCCCATGGGGATGTGAGAAGGGGGGAGCCCTCCAGCTGCCGGTGACACAAGTCAGTTGAATGCAGGTTTTGGGGTGGGGCATGACTTTTACGGGGCTCTCACATGTGCAAAGTGTCACTGTGCAAGGCATGTGGGGGTGGAGGTATGTGTGGCTGCTATTTGTTGTGTTTGGGAGAAGAGGGCTGTGCCAGGCATTCTGGGGGTGTGGGGAGGGGACTGTGGGTTGCTGTCCAGGGTATTTGAGATGCGGTGGGTATATGTGGCCATTGAATGCTCTCTGGGCTGTGTGGGGCAGGCAGGGGGTTGTGGGGCACAGTGTGGGGCATTGGAAGGGGGTTGTGCGGGATACTCAGGGTGTCTGGGGCTGAAATGCAAGAGGTCTAGAGGTGCTGGGAAGGGGCATTTGGAGGCATTCTGCCCTTGCTGGGGGGTGGGGAGTCAGCTGCCAGGGCAGCCCGACCTTGCCCCTCTCCCCCACCCTGGAGTGAACGATCAGCTGTTCTGGGAACAGACGGGCACCGCCCAGCCTGCCCCCTTCCTGCTCTCTGGTGGCGCGGGAGGGCGAGGTCCGCCCCCATCCCTATGAGATCCTGGGGCTTCCAGTAGGGGGCGCTGCGGGAAGCAGGACCGGCGCCCTAACCGCGGGGGAACCAGGCTACGCCCG